TAATTTTCGATAATCCACTAAAAATCGAATACCACCATCCTTTTTTTGTGAATAATAACTGAAGATGACCAAGGTGGATTTTATGGACAAATTTGATTAGTTTGTATCATTCTTTTGGATTTCATCTTGAAGCTCACATCGTTGTTGTGTTGTTCTTGGGTATGGTCGTGAACTAATCGGAAGATTATCATCGGTGTTAATAGTGTGCTGAATATGTGTGTTGGCTTGTGTGACGTTCGAAGTGTCAAAAATTTTCATGTGTTGTTGTAATATAAAACGTAATTGTTATTTATCTTGAACATTTGTAATATGAGCAGTTAAGTTATCGAGTGTTTGGGATGTTTCAGAAGGTGTTTATTTGAATTCAATTGTATTAAGAATATGATGTTGAGAAGATAACGACAAGAATGTACTAGATGGATCAAATAATAAGCATCAATGTGTTTGATACGATGTGTGTGCTACTCGACCTAGAAGAGTATTTGTTGGTAAAGTGTAGGTATAATCATGTGGATTATATATTTCCAAATATGTGGTATAATTATTTATGTGTAACAACGATGGAGACATGACAATAGATTTTTCGGATTGTATAACATCGACAGGCGAGAAGTAGACGGTATCAGCTGATGATAATTCGACTTTGGCTTGAACAGTGTATGATTGACTTGGAGGTATATGAAGTACATTAATTGATCTGACATCTAAAGCTAAATAATCAATGCATCTGTCGTATGGAATAAAGATACGGCCGTTTTTTGAATATATAGACACTTGATCTGTATGATAATCAATTCTTGCTGGATTTTTAGTACATCAATCACTGCCAAGTATAAAATCTGTATTCATTGTTTTTACGACGAGTACGTTTAAAGGTGTAAAAGCTCTATCAAATTGCAATAATAATTGAACTTCACCCAGTATTTTAAGCACGGTGTGACCATCACCTAATTGAGCCATACGATCACACGATGGTACTGCTGAATGGTATGATGTGCTCAATGCACGTTGAGTGATAAATGAATGAGTGGCTCCAGTATCGATCATAGCATATAAACGTGATCCATTGACAGTAGTGTGGATAAAAATTAATGACGGGTTGGGCTTTTTAATATTTTGGTTGACGATGCGATATTTTCGATGGGGTTACCGAGATGTTGTCGAGAGTAATTAATTTTTAGAGGTTTGGGAGAGGGTACCGAGTAAGTCGGATATTTTATTGTGTTGCGATTAATACGATAACGGGGAAATGGAACGAATCGGTCGTATATATTTGGTTTTTGTACAGAATAGGTATTATTTGCTGATGAAGAAAATAATGATGGTCGCTATGGGTCGGAGTCACTTCCATCATTTGACTGCCTTAATAGTTTTTTGCAGATCTACAATCACGAGCAAAATGACTCAGTTTGTGACATAGATAACATCGTAAGGAGCGCGGCTGATAACGTAAAGCATTAAGCGAAGATTGTTGAGCTTGAGATGGTTGACGTGGCGATAATTGATGATGAAATCAATTATGTGGTGATCGAGGTGAATACACGTTTATGGAACAATCTTCAGAATATATATTTGGTGAATTTTGATAGTGCATAGATTCAGCAGATTGTGTAGGTCTGTATAATGAATTTTTGGGGTAACTTATTGCTTCTGTATCATTATCATTTGTTTGATGAACAGAGGTAGTAACTGGACGTTCTAAATTTTCTTCACATCGTGCTTGTTCGAAAAATTCTGATGGTGTTGATGGAGCTTGACGTAGAACTTCTTTCATTAAAGATGATTTTAATCCGCGATATAAATGATCAAGTTTGGATGCATCAGTCATGTTTGGATCAACTAATTTGCATAATTTCATAACATCTGTATAATATTCAATAACAGCTTCATCATAA